TCACGGAGAGCTTCTTATTGACATATGATGTGGTTGGTCGGATGTAACAGTTGCTCGAGATGACCACAGTCCAACCATTGATTCAGACTCATGCCATAGGGCTGCGCGTGGACAAGGATCGATCAGCGCTAAACTGGCCTCGCCTAGTCGTCCCGTTTCAAGGCAGCGCATGTTTTCATTACAGTATTTCAACAGTACAGTGCCGTTTGCATTAAGGGTCCCGTTCAAGTAGAGGTACCTTTGCTAGAAATGGCACACTGCATTTTCACTACCGTGACCTCTACGGCGCCAGACATCTGCAGCTGGCCAATGACACGGCAGTTCATCACGGAAGCACTCGCGCTGGCATCTTCTCCGGATTCGAAATTTCTTCTTTTCAGGTGAGGTCTTCTGAATTAGTCTGGTTACATTCGTAATGCGTTCTAATCATGTTATCATAGAATATTTGTTTGTTTTTTGAACCAGATTTCATCAGACGATGCAGCTATCCGGAAAGAGCTTCAGGTAATGAGTAATCGTTACGCCATGAACACGGTTAAGCTTGACTGATTTAACATTGTAGTTTCATTTTGTTGTTTGACGATCTTGTAATGCTAATGCCACTGTTCGTTTGGAGCGTTACAGACATTTTTGTTCAGTCCGGTCAGTAAATAGTTCATTTGTCGTTGACACAGGGATACTCCGTGCTAGCGGTCATCAATTGTCTATGTTGCCTTTGTCCTTTGATTGACTAATCAATACCACTTTAACTCGGTCAGGCGTCCAGTTCTGTTCTCTCAAAATACTGATAGTATTTGGAGTGCTGAGAAGTAATCTTTGAGTATCAGTTTACTAGTTTATGTACCTCTGCAGTCGTTTTGTGCTTTTCTGCTTTATGATCACTCGTATTATTCTAGGACATATTCCAAAAGCTCATAGATATTTTGACGGACATCATCGGCTGGCAGTTAAATCAATCTACGTGGCTCAAGAAAACCCTTGTCGTCATTCAGGATACCGAACAGGGTATTTATTTTCCTCATTTTTGTGATATACATTTTCCAAGGGTTCAACCTGTACATCTTACGCAGCTGGGAGAGCTTTAAGTTATGCTAGTATATTCATATGTAAATGGGTCTTGTTTTTGCAGATCACATCCTATCGGTTCCCATGTTACGCCAGTCACAGTCAGTTGGCAATGACAGCACACTCTCGGGTACATCTGATCGTCGATACAATATCGAGTACAGCCAGGAGGCATTGAATCTGATCTCTGCGGTACTACGTCTTGTCTGTTTATCGTAAATGCGGCGTTTCGCATGCACTAGCGTAAAGTTTGGTGGCAGTATCGCTTTAATGAAACTTTGTCTTGGAGGAGCTAGCGTAAATTAATATACGGGTTAACATACATAAAATGCGGACCGACTTTTGTTTGCTTATGCGGTAGCAGTAAGGTAAACCAGTTCCTGAATCATCTTTGGTAATGAACAAGAGGTAAAACAATGATACGATAGGCATTTAGCACTGCATGTACTTAAATAACATGGAACCATAGCCTGATTAAATGCCTCCCCCGCCTCAGTAGCGGGTGACGACGGGTTAATACACAGTGAATTCTGGCACTATGTATTTAATGCTAATTCTTGAGAGGTCAGTGAATATCTTAGGCTTGCGGCTAGAGGTTAAGCTTAAAACTCTCCGGCATTCCTGTTGTTTCTAAAGAGTATAGGCTTTGAAGGAAGCTCAACTCTGTTTAATAGGCTTTAATTTTTAACCTACTAAGCGCGGCTTTGTTGATCAGCCTAAAATGGATGAAGTGTCGCCCGGCCACGCTTGCAGACTTGATCCGCTGCAGGGTAACTGAATTTGATCTACTCGCCAACCACTTTCTCGTCTGGAACATGAGTAGTTCCGGACGCCTGTGCACTTTGGGTGAAACCAAGTTTAATAAAATATGGTCCCCTCTCGCAGTTCCACAACGACTGTTACTAATTTTGCCCGTCCCGTTACTAGTGAATATATTTTTTGTTAGCTTAGTGCACGAGGTTAGATACGACGTTTAGACACGAGGTTTCGACGTTTCCAGTATGTTTGTATGTTTTTTTCAAAGAATCACTTGCGAAAAGTTCTTGTTGGTGCAGTCGTTCCATAGGAGGATCTTACTGTTATCCTGTTTGAGTTTCCCGGTAATTTATGTGCTTGAAAGTTTCTAGGACGTGGTCAGCTTCTTTTCACTCTATATATGTTTCGTTCTAAACGTAATTCTGTCTAGTATTCTTCTGCGATTCAGTCTGTTTATAAAATGTTTACAGCACTTTGTGACTATGATGGACGCTGTTTACCGCAACGAAGACAAAGAAAAGCAGATGCACGTCGTCAACTCGGTGTGGACGGTGATCTTGCCGTTTTTGAAAACTCGACATGTTTCCAATGCTAAAAATTTCCTGAGCTGCTGTAAGCTGTTAGTCGAACTAAGTCGTCTTTACCTCATGAAGTCTCTCTGGAGGAAACACATAGTCGAACTCATAGTCGACTCGTCTTTTTTCTGCATGGACGACGAATGTTCTCGCCAATGGTCTGTCATTGTGGACAACGTTTTGAGTCAAGATCGGATGATATTCAAAGAGATCATGAGTAAGAATAGACTTTTCTCTACTTGTTCTCAAACGATCAGATGTAATTTGCGTGTTCCATACATAAGTGCGAAGCGAATAATAAAAAAAATGGCGACAGCCAGAATTAAAATACTTCTCGTTCGCCCAATAGAATGTTTGGGATATACTGATAGCTTTGATCTCGTTATCAGCTTTCAGAAGTACCGAGTCTCGAATTGAACTGAATTTCCCATGTGTCTGTACGTTATCAAATTTTCCTCGTGATCATCAACCAAATTCTCATTGTCCAGAACGGTTCCACTTTGAGAACA